TCTCTCTCTCTCTCTCTCTCTCTCTCTCTCTCTCTCTCTCTCTCTCTCTCTCTCTCTCTCTCTCTCTCTCTCTCTCTCTCAACACTGCTCTACCTCCTAGCAGCACCCAGCGCTGAAGACTACTCTAGTGCTAGCTGCGACTACTGCAGCGCTCCTCCAGAGTGCTGATGCTGAATGCTGAAGACTGCCTCCTGCCTCCTGCACGTGAAGTGCCCGCGAACTGCCTGGCAAGTTCCTATGAGCTACCTGCAGTCGCGTTTTTTTTTGTTTTTTGTTTTTTTTGTGTGTGTGACCCTATGGGTCACGGATGAGATATTAAACTGATCAGAACAGATCCTACACTTGATCTTAGCCAAAAGGGCGAGAAAGGTATTTTGTCTCCTTCCTTCGGTCCAGTGACAGGGAGAAGACTGCCCGCATGTCGTCACCCAACTCTCTTCCTTATTCCTCATCTGCATGGAGGAGGAGGTAGAACCCATCTGAACTCCTTTGTCTTTCTCATGCAGACTGCCCTGCCTCTTTCACCCACCCGCAAACTCCATTTGAATGGAAGAGTTGGAACCCAGCTGAGGGACTGGCTCTCTCTTTCTCATTTCTGATGCCGGAGTTCCTTTTTCACCTCCCAACTCCCTTTGCCCTGAACCCACCAACAACTTGGTTTGAACCCTGGGTTCAAACTCCGGCAGTTCGTCCAACAACTTGGTTCGAACCAGGAGTTTCAACCCAGGGTTCGAACCAAGTCGTTGGACGAACTGGTTCAAACCAAGACTGGTTCGACAACTTGGTTCGAACCAGGAGTTTGAACCCAGAGTTGGAACCAAGTCGTTGGACGAACTGCTGGAGTTTGAACACGGTTCAAGTTCGAACTCCGGCAAGAAGACCCAGGTTCCAAGTTCGAACCAAGAGTTCGAACCCAGGTGCGACTGGCTCTCTCTTTTTTCTCATGCTGGAGTTCGAACCCAGGGCCGCCGCGCTCGCGCTCCTTTCTCCGTCATCCAACAACTGGATTCGAACCCAGGTCGTCGGGAGGAGTTTGCCCCTCTCTACTGCATGCCACTGCCGTCCCAGTCCGGGTCTGCATCCTCATGGATTGTTCGTATCTGATCGTCGACTACGATAATCGACGGCCAGCGCGGGCGGGAGGGGGGAGGGGCGCGGGGGGAATCCAATCCATGCAAGTGCGACATTGATGTCCCTACTACGGTAGCGGTTCAGCAGGCTGCGCAGGAGTTGGTGACAGCGGCCGGCGCGGCTTCGATGAGAGCAAGAGGAGGCCGGCTCGGGCAGAAGGACACTCCGCTCTCGGAACTGTTGCGCACGTCCACGTATATGTTGTTCGCGCCAGACTTTCCCGCCAAATTTCCCGAGTACGTGTTCCCTCTGCAGAACTTCGTTCTACTCCATGGAGCCCCGTGGTCACCCAGATAAACGCCACGTGACCCCTCCACGAAGTCGGCGGGCACGAGGCGCGCACCCACAGCCCCGCCGTATCTTCCGGCGGCGTTCCTCTCGAACTTGCAGCCGGACATGGTGACGTCCGCCTGGTACATCGACAGAGACACTGCCCCTCCTCGCCTGCCCTCCGCCTTGTTTTCTGTGAACGTGCATCCGCTGATGCTTGTGAACTCCTCACCGTAGATGCTGATGGCCCCACCTGTCGCGTACCGCTTAAATCTTGAACTCGTGGAGTACGCGGAGTTGCGCGCGAAGCGCGACCCCACGATCTCCCCCCGCCCGGCGATCGAAACCACCACTGCGCCGCCATGGCCGTCGACCTTGTTACCTTCGAATACACAATCGCTGATGCGGTACGTAGGCGCCCATATATACATGGCCCCACCTTTCCCCGTGCCCCCCGTTCCCATCGCCTCGTTGCTCCTAAACACCGTCCTCTCAATCACCGTGACGCTTCCGATCGCGTACACAGCCCCGCCTTCCCCAAAACGTCCCTCCACCCTGTTGTTGGCAAAGAGAGAGCCAGAGATCTTCAGGCTGCCGTACGAAACATACACCACAGACGCCCTCGCTGAAAAGAACCCCGCCACCGCGCGGTTGTTCCTAAAGACGCAATCTTGGATGACGATGTCGTGCGTCCTAGTCTTGAAAATCGGCGCCGTTCCGTTGAAGTTGCGGAACTCTAAGTTCTTCAGCGTCAGCGACAGCGACTCCGATCCGCCATGCTTCGATGCTCCGTCAATCACTGGACGCCTGCCACGTGGCGCTCTGCCCACGAGCGTGAGGTTCCTGCCCGTGATGGCGGGTAACGAGCCGTTGAGGACCACGTCCCCTTTCACTTCCTGATAGACCAAGGTCTCATCATTGAGCGCCGCCAGAAACTCCTCCAGGCCGTACCCTGCCGTCAGCGGTATCGCTGCCGAGACGGCAACAAAAATACCCGGCAGCAGCAGCAGCAGTCGCAGCAACGACCTCCTCCCTGTCGTTGCCGTCAGTACCACAAGCCGCCATAGCCATAGCCACAGCCATAGCCAGAGGCAGAGGCAGAGCCAGAGCCATAGCCATAGCCATAGCTGCTCTGCACGCTCCCGGGGGCGAGTCCGAGTATGGTGCAAAGGCTGACACACCGACCGAACTACGGCAAAGCAGCCTGGACGTATGTCACCCCTGCCTCCCTGCTGTCGAGAAGCTCGACGGGCGAAGGACACACACTACGCCTCCGCAGGCGGACAGACCTATATATAAATGTACCATGGCAGCCTGAGGGCCTCGTCGGTGCACCACTCGCCTTCCGCGAAGATTTTGAATGCATCTGGTCAAAAAAATGATGTCCAGGGGCATCCCCACCAATAGACTGTAGTATTTCTCTCTCTTTTAAAAATAAAAAAAAAAAAAAAAAAAAAAAAAAAAAATCTTGGCGGATTGCTTGTGGTGTATAACTAACTACCGCGGTAGTACGCCCGCCGGAGGGCGGCGTTATGCCTTTTGTTCCCTCTTTCCTCCGAACATAACGCCTATACGCGTTATGTTGGGGGGGGGAAAGTCAGGCCGTGCAAATGCGCATGCTAAGGGTCTGATCCCACCACTACACTACGACTGTAGTTGTGAAAAAGCACTACAAAGATGTCAGCGGCCGTGGGGGGACGAAAAACTAAAATTGGACCCCACCAGGGCGACTTCTTCGGTGCTTTTCCGGAACCCGCGGCTGTTCTTTGTGGGCTGTTGCAGAGGGCAGCCAATCGAAATGCTGCAAACGGACGACAAAACAATAAAAAAAAAAAAAAAATCTCCCTCTTTTTCGCTGCAGAGATGCCCATAGAAGGCGTGAATGCTAAAAGACCATTGGCCCCGCACCTAGTGCTGTCACGGGCAGCGACGTCTGCGGACGGGTGGGCGGGAAGGCAAGCAGACAATCACTGGCAGTACCACCTGACAATCTAAGGACTAAGAATGAACTTACCCAGGATTCGCAGCAGCTGCAGATTGGGTACCGCCCTCGGCACTTGAAGCAAGGCCAGCAGGGGTGATGCAAATAGGTGCCTGCAGGAACCCTCGATTTATAGCACCCGCAGACCCCTCCGGAAAGAAAACCTCCAAGGGAGGCCTAGGCACTGGGCCGGTAAGAACAGGGACTAGGGGTTCAGCACCCCTGTCATTAACGGGCTCACCCAAAGGCCTAGAAGAAAAATTCAAGGGAGCATCGCCGCTTGAAGGACTTGAGCTGTCTCGCTGGTAAGGTTGGAAACGGCGCGGTGAAAAGGAAACGGGTATTTTAATTGGCCCGGCAGTTTCTCCCCGTGCTGTTTCTCGTAGCGAATTTTCGACTCCGCGATTGCGAACGCTCCGATCTCCGTACCTGCAACGGTGCAGAACAGAGTGAGACCTTCTATTTTCCCTCGCGTTCACCACGCGAAAATTGCGCCCGCCCGCCCGTGCCCTCGGTGCATTGGTGGAAGGACCCCCAATTTCCCAATTTTGCTGAAGGTTCTGACTCTGTTCTATGTTCTGACAATCATCACTTCCTTTGACAATCTACTCAATCTATTTGCATCAGTTTGCTGTCACTTTGCTTTGTCAGTTGTGTGTTCATCTTGCCCCTTGAAGTTGTGATGGTTTTTCTGAACAGATACCCCCAGCAGCTCTACCCCTTGAAGTCATTCTGACTAAGAAGTCGCACACCGAAATCACTCACGGCCTCCACAAAATTTGTAGCAACTACGCTTGCACCATTCGCGGAGGTGCTGCCACGACAAGAAGTATGGCAAAATATTTCGGCGGCTGCGACAAAGTCGGAAAGTGGTGGGATCCGCAAACTACAGTGTAACTGGGCTGTAGTGTAGTAGTGGGATCAGACCCGAAGCCGACGTTGCTACTATTCGTTTCATTGCGTGTGCAGGCAAACACAAACGCAGACGCTGGGCGAAATGACGCACCAGGACATTCGATTTTCCGGCTGAATCTGCATGTCTCTGCGATACAGTTAACGCAGTTCAACCAGAGACTCTTCTGTTTCTGATCGGAATGTGGACCACATACGCTCTTAGAGTGAGGGCATAATCACACTACGTAGTACATAGGACTTTATAACAAAAGCTTTGGACATGATTGCATTCAGATTCATCCAGGTCTGGGTCGTACTTGCAGTCAGATGCATTTTGGAACGTGTCAGTAGTGCCCGTATGCCCGTCTCCAGGGCGTCTGCCATGCCCACCGGGGCAAGGTAAGGTCCCACTCGCCCAAATTAGGAGACTTTGCGGCCGTTGATCTTTGCTATCTACGGTCACAGTATCTCTTAATCCGTGCAAGTGGAGACTAACTGGGACAAATGGTTTTGAGTTGTTCCTATTTTTTCCGGCTTATATTTGTGCGACCATTGTATTTGCGACCTCGGTTTCTACGTTACGTCCTATCTGAATGACTTTGGAGTTTTTGGTGGTTCTGACCTCCTATCTGTCGATTGGTTCATTTTAATATTCCGGTGTACCATTGCACTTGGTCCCTTTTGTGAACTGTGGCTGGATTCCCTGTTTCGGCTAGGTGTCTACCGTAAAAGTGGATGATTTTTTGAGTGTAGGTTGCGGAAACGATATTTTTCTGTTCCATTGGTTAGGAACCTTTATTTTTAGGCATTTGTCCTGTTTTAGGACCTAATACATTTCCTGCTTTCCTCGGAGTTGCCGGCTGGTTTCAGTCGCAGAGCTGTGTAGGTACTTTTCGACGCAGTAGCTTCTATTTTGGCTTTTCTGTTTTAGTATATTTACTAGCCTAGTTAATAACTTCGTTACCTGCGTCGACTACGACCCTTGATGAGACTGCTTCGGCGGTCGGGTCTTCCGCCATTCATGCTTTTCACGATCAATTTTAAGATTTCAAGTGGCGTTCAGGGAAACTGGTTTTTGACTTGGCTTCTTCTCTCTTCATCTTCTTTACCTTCGTCTTTACCTCCTTCTTTCCCTCTCGTCCATCATCCTTCTCTGCTATTTTGAATTCTTCGACGGTGTTTGTATGTCTGCTTCCGGTCGCCTTCGTTGACCAATCAATAGACCTTATATTTACATATATATATATATATATGTATATATATGTCCACAGAGCGGCCGATTACGAAATCTTCACCTGGACACCATGAAATTAGCAATGAATGCACCCCTGTCCTGAATCATTGATAAAATATGAAGCCCCCCAAAAAGCAAAAAGCTTAAGTCCACTAAATGATAAGCTTCAATGCACTTCTCACAGCACCCCCAGCCACAAACCGCCGAGATCACCGCAATCCAGACCCAGACACTTCACCGGACCATTCCATTGATCGGTAGGAGCGACGGGCGATGTGTGTACAAAGGGAAGGCAGAGACATTATCAGCACGAGCTGATGACTTGCTCGCTCTTGCAACCCTTATTCCCCCGAATACAACATAAGGTCATTATCACAGTATCCAGACTCAAAGTTGCCCCAAATTCAGCTATAATAATGACGGTACGTTGTATTCGGGGGAAGAGTGTAGGTGATCCTACGGAAGGCTCCGACGGGAGAAGTCGCAAGGTTTCCCCTAGGTGATCCTGGGGAAGGATCGTACAAAAAAAAAAAAAAAGCTCAAGTCCTATCGAGATGGATACGAGGACACACCAAGGCCGAGGTAGCATTAGCAAAGAGGATAGGATCGAATGCCTGAATCTGAATGTGTTTTATGCAGAGGAGATGCAGAAAAGAAGTTCAATATCGATTTCCTGCACATCTCCATAAACTCGTCCAGATGCAGGCATTCGATCGATCCTCTTTGCTAGTGGGACCACAACCCAAGTTTGCTTTGTGCAAAGTTGCAAACTGACTAGGCATTTTTGGAAGAGTTCAACGTTTTTTTTTTTTTTTTTTTTTTTTTTTGAGTTCAACGTTTTGTTTCACAAGATGTCTAAAGAAGGTCGACGAAAAAAAAAGAAAAAAAAAAAAGGTCGACGCATAATATGATATGTGTTGTGAATAAGAATTTTCGAAAATTTCGAAAAAAAAATGGACTTTTTTTTTTTTTTGGGGGGGGGGGGAAATGTCTTGGATCTTTGAATCATGTGTTCCGAGGCTGAGGCCATTACTCAACTTTGGCCTCACAATTCTACCCGGAAGCTGAGGCCATTACTCAGCTTCTTAGGCTTGTGCTGGAAATCAGGTCGAGCGTCCTTTCTTCCTACTTTGAACAATGTACCCTGGCTCAGGCCACAGCCCAAAACTGGAAAGCAGGTCCAGCGTCCTTGCTCCGCAAGTACTTATACTCCTAATAAGACTCCGTCAACTCTTTTTTTTTTTTCCTGCACAACTTGAGTGAATGCTAGGGCTGCTGATAAGAGCAAGGCTCCGTCAGCTCTTGTCCCATTATAAAGACCCTGATTCTATTCTACCAACCAGAAGCACACACTTCTTCTTCTTCTTCTTTCTTCCTTTGGTTTTTATTTTTTTTTATTTTTTTTAAAGAAACTCCATTCCAACTTCTTCTTTTTAAGCAGTGCCCTGGAGGGGGATCCCACTACCTATGGACTTGGATTAGTGTGACGGATGTGGGACGGGTGGGGGACAGGTGGGTGGCAGCGTGAAATAGGGAAAATAAATGCAAAAAAATATTTCATGACCAAACAAATGAAGGAATAAAATCAAAAAAAGAAAAGAAAGTGCTCTTCTCACAGATGGTCTCTGCTCCAGCCGAGGTATCAGATGTCAGGGCATGATTCACTGACCATGGCTTGGCAGTCGAAACAACTGCATGGGAGCCGGCACATGGACCATATTCATTGACAATACTCTAAGGCTTCCTTGAAATGGGCCACAATACACATTTCGTTAAAAGTGAACCTTTTGATTGTTCACTTTTTGTAACAAAGCCGGAATTCATGTTGGAGCGATACAAGTAAGAGAAATCCATGTTGGCAATATGAACTGAGGAGCGACATAAATAAGAATAAATCGAAACAATCATTGCTAAGTGCTGCTAAGTGGGCAGTGATATGGGTCAACTGCCATTGCTTGGAGTACTCGACCCATCACACACACACACACACACACACACACACACCCCACCCAACCCCAACCACCCCAGCACACCAACGGTGTTCGAATTTCTCCCTTGTAGGCTATCTTCGAGGTAGCCTTTTGGAGCGGCCACCGCTCGACAACTCAGAATAAACTCCAGGTTTGTTCGAGTGCTCCGGGCGATTATGGACACTACATAGTACGTCATCATTGCAACTGCTTGCTTGGCAATGCACATGCATTGCTAGTCGATATGAGATAGCCCTATGGCCGTGCTGTTTTATACAAAGTCTCGCGAGTGTAGGCTATCCGATTTCCACGATGGAAAGCTATGGGATGGCTACTGAAGGGACTCGGAGACTCAGTGTTGTCGCGTTGTTGTTATCTTGTTTTCTGTCGTTTCGTGTGTGTGTGTGTACACGTTTTATTTTTAATATTATGTTCGTAGTGAGCGAGATACGTCCTAGTCGATCGACGTCGAATTTCGTGCGCCGGTTCTCGTGCGTAGTGAGCGGGATACGTCCTAGTCGACCGACGTCGAATCGTAGTGGCCTCGGACTTCAGCCCCCCCCAGTGCACCGGTTCTCGTGCGGGTCCGACAGAGGTGTGGGACCACACGTACCTCGTATGCTACAGCGAACGAGTCCACCTCTGCGATTTCAATTGACCAGCTTTCGTACTGTGGACTGGTAGCTCGGCGAGGATACGCCCACCGAAGGGAGGTGACATCTCCCGTAAGGTGGAGGTAAGTTGCGCCTCGCGTACTCCCTATCCTATCGTAGGGGCTCGCGAGATGTATGGCTGGCGCACTCAGTCGGAGCGGCTTGCAGAAGGTCAATATGTATTCGTGACGAGGATTAAGACCAATGCGCTCGACAACGTCACGAACCCCAAAAATTGGACGCTCTAAGGCCTTCGGGGAATCGAAAAAAAATTGGGCCATTCCCCGATTTGTACGTGTCATCTTTGCGCAAGGGCCATGCAATCAGCGCGCGGCCAACCTCGGTCGCGCGATCTTCGCGATCGTGCGGTCGAGATCGACCGCGCTTTGCTAAAGAAAAGCAGCTTCAAAAGGAGCTGCGCCCAGTAGGGCTTGTCGGATTTGATCCCGGCATCAGTCGTGTATCAGTTTGGCATGATTTCCTACAAGGCTAGCTCCTTTTCACGAGAGCTAGAGTCGCAGCTCTTCTATTTGAAGAGATGCCCCCAGCAGGATTCATGGTTGTGGCTTAAGGTAGGCTCTGCCTGCCGCACTTTGCCAATGGCTACGCCGCCATCAACCCGGTGCTGTCCCGACCTGTGGCCTAACCATACCGGTTAGTAGCGTGGCCGCGGCTTGGTCGGCCATCGAACCGAGTAAGCCTTGGCATTGGCCTGTCGGCCCCCAGGCTCGAAGTTAAACCCCGCGGCCTTAGAAATAGAAACAAAAACTTCCTATACCTCCTGCGTCGAGGCCCTATACCCCGACGTAACCCTCTTTTTAGCCTACTTAGGCCCTGAATCGCGCGGCTTAGCATCCGCGCGACACCATTATAGGTAGGATAGGTTTAACTTTAGCATTCCCTTATTCGCACGTTCCTTCGGCTTCGACAAAAGTGTAGCCTTGTCGTTCACATCCGATACCTCCGGACGCCATACGCGTCCGGAGTAAAGTCTGAAAATTTTTTTGTCTCTTAGTCATAGGTCACATTTGAACAAACTGTTTGGCAAACGTCAGTCTCATCAAGTCCTTCAATTCAACGAAAAATGTCAGACAGCGTCTGACGTTAAAAAAAATCAGTAAATACCCTTGTCAGGGTATTTGGCCCGACAGCATTCCCAGACCCCATTGAACGACGTCCCCGTCGTTCACCTTATATGCCGGATCAAATTCCGAAATCACTAAAATTTCCAAGGAACTTTGTCTAAATGGTCCCAGCATCATCCCATTGACGGCAACTCTAAACATTTTTTAGTCTCTTAGAATGGTACCAGAAAAGCTTCCGGATAGCTTTCTAAAACGAAATTCATTCAATCGATACC